AGATTCATACTGAAAAGTCCATTTCCATCCATCACGCACCCACTGGCTGAAATGTGTGGTGAGGCATGGTTTAATTTGAACACAACAGCCCTGATTTATAACCTTAATTAAAAAAGGATTTATTGTTGCAGACTGCATTAGGTTAAGTTTGATCCAAATAATCATCTGAAAACTGTGCAGAGTTGAGAATGACATGAAACAACAAATGGTTGCCTTTTTTTTCCTTCCCTTTTGTTACATTGTTCTTACACATCATACCAGAATTCTCTGTTCAGAGGCTGTAAGAGAGGCTACAGTTGACTGATCAGACAAATAGGCTTGTCTATGTTTTTTCGACGCAGGATCTCCTGACGTTTGACTCCCTCTTGTCAATTGCAGGTGAATAACAAATCTACAACCACCCCCTTACATCTAGTTAAGCTCCTAACTCTACTGCTGTACCGCTCAAGGGTCCATCCCAATTACGCCCATCTCTAAGTGTCACTATGTTTGATGCTTAATCAGTCACTGTGTTTTCAGCTCAGGTAGCACTCACGGCTTAGCTCGCTTTCTAAATTAAGAAAATGCTCAAGAAAACAGCCCGTGGTGATCAGAGCTTAAACGCTTTCATTGTTTAAAGAAACAGCATTAAACAACACATTTGTTAAGTTTAAATGGGATGAGAAGTGATGAGCCTGAGCACAAAACAAGCGTACTTGAAAACAAAAGATTGGGCTTGTGTAGCCGATTTAATAAAGCATTTAAACAGCCTGAGTAGTTTTGGATTAAGTGCTCACACAATTTTAGAGATCTGGTAGGTACTATTACAGTTACATGTTTTATTAATTGGAAAGCAGCCTTTGATCTGATCCCAATTAGCACAAGTAATGATATGAGTCCTTTCTGACTGCGATATGCTGCCTTGAAATGTACGTACTCTCTAAGGACTATTATTTACAGCTCACCAGAACTTTTCTGTTAAAACACAAGATGAACAGCATTTCCAGTCTATGAGCTTGACACCTGAACTTCATGCACTCAGCAGAAAATGGTTTGACCCTGATTTGGTGGGTCAACTAATAGGATAGACATTTTCTGATTATCTATTGTGTTACCATGCTTAAACAACATGCCCCAAATGCTGAGCGGAGCAATTACACTTCAGACCTTTCTCATACGCTAATTCATGGTTCTATTCAACAAGGTTATTTGATGACAGCATGGCATCTGTGCTGTATAAATATCCAACAAGGCCTTTACTCTGTCTTCACATTCAAGGGCAAAACAATTTCCAAAAGAGACCCAATTAATTCTCATTCTGCAAGCCAGACCCTGAGCATAAATCTAATTTCAGCGATATTTCTATCATTAGATGAAGAAATCAGTTGACGTTAACAGGGAAAACCCTCTCAGTCACCTCTCTTAGATTAGATTTGATAACACTATCAATCCCAAGCGGAGGAACTTGTTTGGAAACCTCTGCTTAATAACATAGGGTATCCTCAGAAAGACATAACAGAAAAAAATGGCTTAGAAAAATTGTTTTGTGTTTATCCTAATTTTTTACATGTCTTTATTCTTGTGCGTTGACTTATGTAATATGATAGAAGAGCTTCTGAATCTTGTATTGTAAAAATTTCAAATGAACTCATGTTCTTTCAAGCTAAAAAGTTTTTTTTTTAATTCAAGGTTAATCATTTTTAATGTTCAGTTTCAGATCCAAAGGAAAAAAATAAGATTTGTCACAAATAATATAATCTAAGGTTTCTGTGGAAGGAAGATGTTACTTTTGGTCTGGCCTTGTCTGTAACAGACCATAAAAAAAAACAATTATGCACTGCACTTTCATTTAATGAATGATGGAAAAGAATTATGCAATGTATTACTTTAAGACTAGATGTAATGTCATTTAATTCATTCATGCTGAGTGAGACAGAAAACCTGCATCAATTGTGATGTATTACAGAAAATCAAAAACTAAAATAATCAGCTGAACCTTTCAGTTGTCATACGTTTTTGAGTGAAACCAGGCTAAAGTAAGCACCTGTTGGCAGTCTAAATTAAAAATACTTCAAGTAAATACTATAAAAACAGACATGTATCAAAGTAAATATCAATCTATGATCAGCCCCTTGCAGAGTGAGACTTTTTGTCAGCTGTCACAGCAGATAAAATAAAACAAATGCTGAATCTATTTCAGGTTAAGCAGCTTCAGGTAACCTTTTCACACATCGCTTAGAAATTCACCCTGAGTGAACGACAAATAGCTTCTATTTTAAATGTTTTACTAATATGCCTATCATTTACTCTCTCAATTAAGCTAACCTTTTCTGAAAAATGACCTATCTTTTTGTTTAGTTTTTTGTAATGCCATTGATACAAAACCAGGAATATGTCCATATATGACCAACTTAAAAGTCTCCTCGTGGTGTAGTAATCAGCTGCTTTACACCAAACCACGAACACCACATCTCATGAAACAAGCTTTCCATAGTTTTATAGCTGATGTGTCGGAGGGCTCTCTACTTCATTCTGCAGAACATGTGCATCTCATTCAACACAGCAAAAAAGCCTTTAGCAGAGAAAATAAAATCCTCAAGCGGGAAGCAGCAAACAATTCATATGGCTTGAGTTCTGGTGTTATGGATGTGTTGTAATGTTTTATAACTCACACAAAAATGTTCCACCCATGTGATTCTGTAAAAATGTCAAGAGTGACGAATGGAGCATGCAGCTTTTGGGTTTGCTCATTTTTGACTGAAGCAGGTTTCCAGGCTATGCAGCGAGAGCCAGTGCTAATCTTCACAACCTCTTCACACTTCTTCAGCTTGTGTCAACAGCACTGTGAGCCGGTTAGCCATTCATATGCTGCTACAGATGGTCCCATCCCTCTTCCTCAGCTCTGCGGTTGACATGATTCATGGGGCTCTGTGTCTTGATTTAGGGTCTCTTTCATATTTCTACTCGCCCTCAGCAGAGGAGCATTTCTCTAAGACACCCCTGAGGCAATGACCCTGGTCTGCCTGGCCTGTCTGCCTGAGAAAAAGGGAAGAAAAAAAAAGAGCTCAGCTGGGCAAAATTGGGCTTGAAACAATTCTCTCCCATGTGCAAAAATGTGCACGGCTGTATTGGTTATGTGCACAAAAATAGGTGTGAACTTATTTGACAAAGACGAATAAAAATATCCTCTTGTCTTTTCACAATTTTTTTTTTTGTCCAACAAAAAAACAAAAAATTGGGATTTACTGGAAAACCAGCATTGTGCAAGAAAGCACTCAGTTGATGAAACAGCCAAGTCTTTGCCAACTCATTACCAAACCAAAGAATATACTGCTCTACCCCTCTTGTTCTGCAAGAGGCCGCTACAATTTTCCACCAAACAAAACCGCATGAATATGCACATCCCTAAAAATTAAAGCAGTAGTCACTGTTGATTGTTTACTCATTCACAGCGTGTTGAATTCCAACAACAACAATAAACATGGACGTTTAAGCTTCGATCTGCACCGCAGATTTTCCTCACAATTCGCCTCTATGGGTTTCAGATTGCCTTGTCAGAAAGGACTATATCGAAAGACTGTGCGCACCACTTCCTTATCACTGCCAGTAAATTACCTCAGGATCAGATACAGGCTGCCAACTCGCAGAAACTCCACTCAGCAGACACAGAAAAAAAAGGAATGAGACAGAAAAGAAGGAAAGACAGAGACAAGAAAAAAGTGTCAAGACATGACAAGAGCGGGAGAGCAGCCCCACGGAGACTGATTTCAGCGGCTCTCAAAGGCCATCTGATGTTATCTAAAGATCATCCACAGTCGCCAACATTCACCTTTTTTCAACAGCTGAAGTCAAGCACCTGTCACTCAAAACTTTCATAACTTGCAGGCACGACAGAGGGGCTTTCTTTTCCCAGTGTAATCAATCTGAGAAGCAATTCTTTCTGACTAAATGAAGCGAGCCAAAGAACAAAGAATTCTCTTGTTCTATTGAAAATAAAGGATAAATCATTAATATTCATGTATACACTCTAAACCGAGGAATAGTCTGAAATAATTAAATGACGGAAACCTACCCATAAAACTTCCAAACACATCACTATTGTCTTCCGTAAAGAACTGGAAATACATATATTTTATATAGTTTAAAGATATTTTGACAAAAAAAGGATAGGATGAACACAATATGTTAAAATAGGATTTTAAAAGTCAAGCCTGACTTTGTCTTTGTCTGTAATTAACCTGAAAAGAATCCATAATTTCTAATAATGGTAAATACTTTATATGGAACATTCAAATGTTTCAGTCTGAAGTGCGTTATTAAACAGTAAAATTAGCAACTGCTCTCTGAAGTTTGGAAGTATTTCAGGTTTCACATCATTATTCATAAAACTTAGTAGTGTAATGTCTAACATTTAAAACAGGCATGCGTTAAATAAAGAAAGAAATCTAATACTTTTCAAATGCGGCTTCACTACGCACCGAGACTCTGTTCATCTGAAAACTGGTTTTCTTCCTTGAAAAAGACTCATATTTCTTTAAACATCTTACCAAATGAATAATTGAAGTGTAAGGACTGCTGTTACGGCAACAACCTATTCCCCTGTGTCTGTGAATCAAAATACATAAATACTAGAAAACAGTAGTTATTTCATGTATGTGAACTGAAGATTAGCTTCTGATAAACCAATGTTTTTTCCCTTTTTCGCCGCTTCCTTTTGAAAATACTTTTCTGCAACCCAAACTTTAGTCTCTTTCTGAAGAAATTGAAGAAAAAAGTTGAAAAACACAATGTCCAAGCAGTTCCATCAAGAATTGTTCATTAAAATCAACATCAGTGCATGCTAAGTAGCTAACAAGTAATGATGTTTAAAGATAAAAATGACTTCTTCTTTGTTTTTTTTTACTGAGAGCCAAAATCATGTCAGTCAACTTGCCCTGATTGTAGATGTGATCGTATAAAACTGACCTCGGAGAATTGTCACCTGAGTGGCTTTGGGGTGTGAGGGGTATGATTAAACTCACAGCGAGTTATCTCGATGCAGGCGGCGGTCTTTCACTCGCGTCATGGGACAATCGCACCCCGCCGCAGACGTGCCCAGACTCCCCTCTGCAGCATGGTGTGGAGCAGCTAGCTCCAGCATAGTGGAAGCGAGCAGATGGTGAACGTATGCAGCACTCATGCATGTCATCATCACCTTCATTAGCTGAAGGTGACATATGACATCATCTGGGGCTGCGTACATTATTGGGGCCAGAAAAAAAAGAGTTGTTTGCTTCCTTTTTCTTCTTTTTATCGCAGGTTCAAGGTTGTTTTTGAGATACATCGTGAGTGATCACACCACCTTTCTCCTCCCACACACTCACGCACCCTCTGCCGGCTACTCCACCTCAAGCCTCCCCCAATCTCACCTCCTCCCAACATTAAGGTAAATAAGGGCTTCCAGCAGAGAACCAATGAGCACGGGCCACTGCGCAGCGATGCATGTTTGTGTTGCCTTCCTCCCAGGACCTGGCTCGTTTATCTTGGCTGTCAGGTAAAGGGCAGACTCTGAGAAGGTGAAACTTTTTTCTTTTTTTTTTTCTTTTTTTTTTTTTGTTTTAATAAGGCTGGCTTGGTTTCCATAGGAACCGCTGAACAACATTAGAGGGACAATGATAAGAGAGCAAAGTGTGGTCTCAGGGCATCCCGAAGAGTGCCACATTGTTGTTAGAGAGACATTTACGTCTACCTCAGAGAAATGAAAGAGCTATTTAGATTAATTTTCAGGGAGCCAACAGTCTCAGACCTTTTACTGCTGGAGGTGAGATTAATGAGAGCATATTCACACCCAGTTTTCATCTTGGGTCAGGAGCTAAAAGGGAGGTCTCACTTATAAAGAGGTGCTGAGTCTTCTGCGGGTACAAACGTCCTGATAAAAGCGGAGAGGGCCTCCAATAACTACCAATGCATTATTTTCCTTCACCGTCTACGCCGTCGAAACAAAGTAAAAAAAGATAAGGGAAAGATTTAACGGCTGCAACTTTTTGCGTGAAGGAATAATATTAAATATTAAAGAGGAGAAAGGCTGCCTCCTCAAACTGTCAATATTCCAAATGAGAGCAACCTACGCATTCAGAAAATTCTCCAGGCTAAAAGTGCATAAAGAGTGCAGGAAAAAATGCACAGGTAATTAATAGTTAATGACTACTACATTTTTCACTTTGTGGCAGTAAATGGGAAACATGTTTAGTTAACAAATGAGATGCGGAAAATGAGGGGGAAAAAATATATCAAATGAACAGAAGGTACCACACTTGCTGTCAAAAGCCTGCAGCCGTGAGATAAAACAAGACAATGATACACAGATATGAGTCTTTGTTTCCAGCCTCCATCCTGCAAGAGAGAAATTAATTCTCTCCTGGAGCAGAACTCTACATGGGCACGAGGCACATGTAGTCATAAAGTCAATATCAAAATGGTAGCACTATTGACAAGATGGCACAAAGTCTAAGTCATGCCGACATGTTAATAGCCGTCAAGGGTGAGAGCTGAATTCAACATTTGGCTTTTTCTCTGCATATGGCTGTTTTTTATTATCATTTCAGTAATAACCGTCTCAGAGAAAATTGTAGCAACTCTCCGTAAACACACAGCAGATGAGGTGAAATACCAGGAGCTCCACTGTTAAGGGTTGATTGTTTAAATTGCTCTATTCGTCTATTCTTCACAGGTTTTTCAAATGGAATCTTTACCGCTAAAAAATGTGTGAAACAACTTTTTTTTGCTTGTTTTTGCACTGAAATCCAAAGTCTTTCTTTTTTCTCACGAAACAAACAGATTCGTCTCATACGAAAAGGTTCTCTCACCCAAGGCAGGATACCTTATCTCCCTTTTATTAGCCTTTCCGTAACATTTTTCCAACTCTTTGGTCCCCCTTTTGTGTCAGTGGTCTCTGATTTATGTCAAAGCTTAAGAGTAGGAGCGCTATACGAGGACACGCGCTCGGGCAGGCATCACGCTCGTGGGTGAGAGTGTGTGCTCTGACAGCTCATCAGTGGACAATAAGGCCTTGGCTGTTAATGTCCTGCTACCTGGCACAGCACAGCGTCCCCAATCTGCTCCAGATGCTGGAGGCAGACGTCCAAGTGGAGGTGGGAGAGGGGGGGGGGGATCAGTGCTCAAGAAGCAAAAAAGGGAGTGGACTTACTGAAAAATGAATGGGACAAGACAGATGCACACATATATAAATGCACCACCTGCCACCAGCCGGCTCTGAAATCACTGCCTCTTGTGCACAGCGGTCTCAATGGCAGTTACTGTAGCAACATCAGGGATAATATCTCAGCACAAATAAATGAAATCTCTCTTTTGCACTGAGCAAGATTGAAAATTTATCTGTTCAGAGCAATCATGCATAATTTGAGAACGGGGGTTCTAAAGCGGACGAACGCACGTGTGCGCGCGCGCACGCTCACACACCCATTGGTTGATACGAGAGGGACTTATGAACTCAATTTAGTCAGCCAGACAGAGTTCTTGATTCTGTCACTTGGGATAATCGTCAGGATGTGGCACTCTGACCGAACCCCTGCGTCTAAACCCAGGCAGGATATAAGGTCATGTTGGAGTGGAACTCTAGCCATGCAGCACCCAGACCTCAAGTGCTCCAGTGGTTTTGTGGTTATCTGCAGTAGCCAGCTGTCGCAATACAGAGCTTTTCAAGAACGTCCGCTCTGCTCTTCCTCTGCTTCTCATCTTTCTCCTTTCTCCCCCAATCAGAACTCTTCAATTAGCCCAGCATCTTTGTCCTCCTGTGTATTGTCTACTGTCAGGATTGGTACTTTTATGAAGGAACGCTTTGTATTTTGTATGAAATTGTATATAAAACACAGTCATTAACTGTAGTCAGGCTTCTATGTCAAATTTATTGCACTTTCTTTTAATTCAGTGGGATTTTTCATGGGTTCTTTCTACTTTCATGTGACTGACTAAGAGGACAGATATGCATAATGTATCTGACAGTGCATGTTTAAAAGGTTATTCCTTCCGTTCAAAATTGGGTCAGTTCATCACTGCAAAAGGAACAGGGGAAAGGCTGTGAGACTTGATGTTCTGCAGTGTGTCTGTTTATCATTTAAATGTTGTTTTCTGTCTGTCACTGTCAGGAACAACATGGATAAGAACCTCCACAGCACGGCATACATCATCAAAAGTGATGCAGAGGAGCAGCAGAGTAATCAGCAATCTGGCATGTTTGGCGTCTCTGTGCATTAGTGTAACCAAAGAGCAGAGCTCCACTTACTGGGCAAAAGGAGGTAAAGCAAGCCATGAGAGGGCCAATGTCCAAAGCTTTAGGATTTATGACTGTAATGACCACTGTCATTTAATAGAATGTGAAACCATAGCTTCACCAGCGGGTTTAATAACGGATGAAGAGTGGCCATCATATGTGCAATAAAACAAACATCACCATCTGTGATATTACGTTTATTATTTGAGACTGTACATCTGGAGAGTTCTGTGCATGGACATGTGGAATAACTTTGATGTGATTAATTTAACATTCATATTTGCCTAAATAATCCAAATATAATTTATTCAAAAGATGCTGCTTCTGATTAAATTATTAATCTCAAATGCAATTATCGTAAATTCACATTTATTTTTTCTTCTTCTGGTTTCATTAGATTTAATATATAGTAACTATTTTCAAAAGCATTATTTTATAACTGGATGAAAGAGAAAATAAAAAATAAAAGAAGTTTAATAATAATGGATTTTTACATTTTGTTTGTTAGACTGCAGAGAAGTTCAATTCTTTATTCTTAAAAAACTGTTCCAAAGCTCCAATTTAGTAAATTCATATAAATACATTTGGAGCTTGGGTGGCTAGTACATTTATCACTTTTTTCTTGAGACCAAAGCACTCTAAATAAAAATGTATACCAGGAAAAGTTGACTTATACAATCTGCCACAGATCACTCCCTTTGGGGGATTGAGCCATGGCCATGAGACACAAGCCTCATTCACTAAATCCAGACTAAATCTTTGACACAGTCCATAGTAACAAACAAAGAAGTTAGTCAGTGGTTTTCAATGCATGACCTTTGATGGGAATACCATATGATTTTTCTGCAAAATGCTCCATTGTATATGCAATAGAACATGCTAAAGCACTTTGAATTGTCCTGTGCACGAAATGTGCTATAGATATAAATTTGCCTTGCCTGTAGACAAGTTTGACCAACATAATACTTCTTCAGCAGATTCCTAGAAAAACATCTTAAAATCTGCCATTTAGTTTCAGACGAGCTTCACATTTATAGGCAAAAAGAGGAAATGTGCCAAATGGCAGAATATGAACAATTGATGAAACTTAACTGCTGTATGAGGGAAAAGGAAGAAATTAAACCAAACAGATGGAAGTTGGTTCCTCCGCTAACTGACCACACACTGTGAGAAGGCCTGCTCTACAACTACAGGGCTATGATTACCATGTGATTAACCTCTTCCGGATTAACCCGGACTGCAAAGACACGGAAGAGGTCAAAGGTCACCACTCAGAGAGCTTTTATTAAGTAAATAGCGGCCCATTAAACAAAAGGCAACGCTTAAATCTCAGCAACTTTCATCAAGGATTTTGAAACATATTGTGTTCATCATTAAATTCCGACTACATACAAGGTCATCCTCTTTTCATCATAAAGTACAAAAAATTGAGTACTCTATTAAGAGAAGCATGAGCATGCTGCAAGTACATGATGTGTGTTAGCAGCTATGAGACAGACTGCATATGGGGAGGAATTTAAGTGAGCCTCCTCCAGAGGAAGTAATCATGAATAAACCATCACACTATGGTACTTGTTGAGGCTGTGGCTTTTTATCACTGCTTCCATAATGACTGTTTTCACTCACTGGAGGAAAGAATGTGAGTATAAGATTTATTTCAGTTAATACTTTCCAAAAACAGATTTATTACTTTTTCAAAGTTCAGAAATACATTTTTAAATGTGGTATTTGACTTTTTCAGCTTTTTACTCCTGTAGAGTTTTTGCCTTGTTGAGTTATTTTTCCGAGTTTTAAATAAAACCTCAGCTTCTCTGTCCATGTCGGTGTTTGTGCTTATATTTCTGCTAAATATATTATATTTTCCAGAATTTAAAAAAAGTGCTTGTGCATATGGTTTGCATTTTCTTACATAAGTCAGCAATAGTTACCATTTTTATTTCAACAATGGATCACAGGACAATTCGCCTGTAAATGAGGTCACTCATGGTGCCATCCCCAAAGAAATATCAGCTATCACTGCATTTTAGCCTCAGCTCCCTGAGTTTTATCAGGTCTCTGCTAATTGGTTTCCTGGCCTGGAGCTGTTTTGAGGACAAAAAGCTTTAACTTATACACCATACATCACCTGCCCAGAACTAAACTGCACACCAGATGAAATTGGCAACAAGCTGATAAACATGGCAAAGTATCTATACAGCCAGATAAATCCTCGCATGGTTGAGGAGCCAGATAATTCCCACATGAGTTGGTGAGGCTCCAAAGGGGCCAGATTTGAGAAAAAAGCGTATTGGTGCAAAAACATATCTCCCAGTTTATAATAATGGGCTCTACATATATCTGCTCATAATCAGTAGGATGGCTAAATAGGCAACTTATTAGCATAAAGTTCAAGCGTAGAAAATAATTATTATCATTACTCAAATTGAATCAGCATAGAACAATGTGCTCTGCTAATGATGAGCAATGAATAACACTCGGTAAACATAAAAATGTTTTTAAACATTGCATAGAAATCCTAGAGCAAAACAATTTAAATATTAGTGTGATTTGGAGGTGTACTTATCGTGTTTTGGAGCTTTATTTGGCTCTCATATTGAACACAACCCTCTCCAAACTACACATTGTCTCATATGGAGTCTAGAAGTGGGATTATTTCAGAGAAATGTTTTTGTTTCATAATCCATAATACCAATTAAAATATCTCCAATCATTGTTTCCTCCCGATACACGCTTGAAAGCGAGGGACAAACCATGAGACAGAGGAGGAATGTGTTTACCAATTCTCCCCTGAAGCGAAACCCCATCATCCACATTCACAAAGAATGAGAGATGAAAGCTGCTCGTGTTCTTCCTCTATGATCTTATCTCATCATCTGATCGGTCTTTATCTTTTTGTTTACCAGGGACCCAGATGAGGACAGGCCTTAAATCTCCCTTAAATCTGAGGCTCCTGTGTCATGTGTTTTCTACTCAACCCTTTTTTTTTATTAAAAAAGTCAAAGCTCTGCTGACGCTCTGTGCTTCTTTAAAACCATAAAACAATGTGTGTCAGCACACACAAAGAGCTGTTACGAAAGACATATGCGCACACTCCCGTGTACAGTTTCTCAGACACGGAACCACACATCAACTGAACCAATTGTTTAGGATCTCTGAGGCCTCAGTAAGCTTCTGTAAATCAGCCACCATCCAACACTGAGTTTTATTCCCTCCCCTCTCCGTGGATGCTGGGTTGTGACCCATAGGCAGGAGGTTATTTATTGCTTTTGTCTCAGCTTATGTCGCCTCCCTGCAACTCATTTCTGGTTCTAGGCTAATAGAAAGCAGCACGGGGCTGCATATCTCCAGGAAGATTGCTAAGCTGCGGGCCCATAGTTCCCTCTGCATCTTGTTCCTTAATGTCTCTTAATTTCTCTGAGTTCATCTTCTTCTTTTTCCGTAATGATCGAATCGAGTTAAAACTAATTGGGCCCAAGGTGAAAAAGTCCCTATCAGTAAGTGCTAGTGGAATAAAAAAGGGGAGGCTTAAACAGCTGAGAAATGCCCGCAGACCATAAATATTTCCCAGAGAGAGCTGCCAGATATGATAGACAGCCTGCAGTATGCTGGTGTGCCACTTTCCATAGCACCATAGCAAACATCTCTGTTCTAAGAGATGGATGTCTCCTTTCTCATAAAACGCAGGGCCTTGCAGCAGAAAACAGGAAGAGACTAAAAGAGAAATCAACAACTTCAGAGTGAAACTTAGCTCTGGTAGTCTGTATCCATCTGTGATGAGTAACACCACCCTACACATTAAAGAGCATGAGAACGTCTCTGGTTGCTAAGAAGACTGTGAAATAATCTTTTTCCTCACTGGTCATCTCTCCAACCTTCACACACAGCTGCTAAATTATCTGAACATGGCTGTCACCCTTTACAACGGACCATCTAACCTGAGCTGGCAAGTCCGACCAACAACGGCCCACCTGCTGTTTCTGCAGTGCTGACAGCAGCCGACAGTTAAGAGGAACAACCACAGACAGAAGATATATGATGGGGTCCTTGAGTGATGACAGCAAGTGTAAGATGGAGAGCTGTGATGTAATGGAGACAAGGCAGCTGACTGATACCATGAAAGAGGCCAGCGTGTGTCTGCTCCAGTTCACAACCATCCATATCCAAGATCTATGTATGTGGGCCCCAGCAGCTCATAGATGAACTCTGCATCAATGCCATCTGGATTGTGGGGATTCGCATGTGTGTTTGTGGGTGCATTTACCCGGGGTCAAATGGTACATAAACAGTCAAGTGAGAAATATCTGGGGGAAAAAAAGCCAGGCCGCCCATATAAGAAATTGTGCCTCTACCATAACTATCAACTGCAGTGGTTTTGGTTCGAGTCTGAACTCAAAACATGGATAACTAATTTAACTGTAAACCAGAAATCAGATGTCTGACACAATATTCACAAAGTCAGTTCAGGACAAGTCTATACAGACATTCGAGACTTGATTCCGCCTTAAAATAAAGGTACCATTTATTGCTGGTTAGACTGATTGGCATTCAGTCTGGATGCACTGTGACAAATAGGTTTGAGTGTTTGATTAAAAAAATATGTGTTGCATGCAGGGTATCTCAGTTGAATATAAATTCCTGCTTTGTGAGCAACTGTACATCATTTGCATGTGAATTTATCAAGTTCGTTCCTACCTTTGATTTTAAATGAAAGCGTGTAAACATCAGAGTTATGCAGGTGTATGACTTAAGGTCTAAATCTGTGTTGATCTGGATATTGTAGGATTCTGATGCCTGACCTGTCTGTATAGACAGTTAAATGAAATATGTGAAAGGAATCAAGAGAACATATTTCAGATGTAGGCTCTAGATCCTTCCGTGTAGGCTTTAGAAGTTTTAATCATATTTCCATATAGGTTTTTGTGTCAGTGAGTTATGTCATTTTTATCTGTGCTGGTAATTTATTTAAACCTCTGAAATGATCGGTTATGTCATCAGAAGTTTAGTTCTGGCTTATGAAATTTATTCTGCAGCTCACCATCTAATCTGAGTATACAATGGATAGCCTTTTAATGAGAATTTGACCAAAATAGGGAGTCTTAACAAACCTTTTGACGATGCTGGTTCCATTCCAGCAGGACAGACCATCCCCTGCTGCAAGTTCAGTCACACACAGCTGATCCGCCAGGCCACCGTAGAATGTGAGGTAAAGCCGTAGACTATTCAAAAAGTCCCTGAAGAAGAAGCAGCCATATGGAGACACATAGGTAATTAGATCAATCAAGGTTTTCTTTCAAATGAATTGTGAATCGAAAAAATAAATAGATAAATAAATGAGTAAAAGGTTTTCTCTGTGTGCGAACATTTCTTCAACTAACCTCCTTCTGCTGGCCAATGAGTCTCCTGACACTCTGATGGGAGCTTTAAGTGGGATGGATTCTCTGTTGCTGCTGTGCTGAATGCTGACAGACTGTGCTGGCTTACTGCTTGGCTGGCCACACACTTTGTGAACCTAAGATCCAATGAGACAGACACAAATTGAAGTCTAAACACCGAGGGAGTAACATGCATTTAAAGAATTTGCAATTGTTGTTCGGCATTACTGGTGCCTGACAAATGGCTCTTGTTTTAGAAGGCTGAGTGACAGATGTTTATACAAAATCCAGCGAAGCCGATCATCTCCAATTTCTGACTGTACATGCATCCGGGGTTTGTTAGAAGGCAGCGTCTCTTTTTATCCACTAGATGGAGCTGCGGTGTTTCAACGAGTGTATCAAAGTCAATTTAGCTCAGGATCAAACACCCTGAGGCATTCATAAAAAGATGAGTTTATGGTTCAACCTTTATGGATGTCATGATAATGGACAAAGGCCAACTATAAAAGATAAATGAAGAAAGGAGTGGTATGTTCTGTCTCTCCGCAGTATGTCAAAACGTTTAAAATATGTTTGAAAAATAGATGGATTGATGTATATCTAGACCTTTTAGGCCCCTGTCATGTCTAACACATCTATTATTATGTGAAACATGTCAAATTTGAAGAAGCACAGCTTTAGTAAAATGGGCATAAGCCATGTAGAATGCTTAATCAGATTTGCAGGGCACCCTTCTTCCACCTCCTACAATGCCCAGAGATCCTTTCCAACCTACCACCTAAAGCAACATGTTAAACATTTCCTCATATTGTAAACCTGTGCAGCCAGACGGGGTCCATTCTTCTGAGCATGTCCGACGGCATTGTGAAGCAGCATGTGAACTCCCAGCAGCACTTGCTCCAAATCCTGTGCTCCGTGCATCCTGGCTGAGAGACCCTCCAGCGAGCGAACAAACTCCCTCCAGTGGGGGTCGATCTCCGCTACGCTCGCCAAACAGCCCCGCATCACGTTCAGGCAGTAGCCCATGCAGGGCATGGACTGGGTTAATCCCTGTGGAGAAAATTACTGCGGGATCAGTGCTGCCGGTAAAAATGTTTCATTAATTCAGATCAATACACTCTGAATGCATCCCCTACCTGGCAGTGAGGACAGTAGTGCATCTTGAGCAAGGCCCGCCTGCACTCGCGGCTCAGCTGTAAGTGGTCTGTGGTATTGATGACCTCGATGCCAAGATGCAGTGCCTGCAGCAGGAGCCTCCCAGAGACCCCAGAGCGAGCAACCTGATCAGCAAGTAGGCCTGGCGCCCCACCAAAAGGCCTCAGATCGCGGCTTAATGACCTCACACACTCACTGTAGCCTGATGATATCTCTGGGAGGTCTGGGTTTAGAAAGTGATTGTAGACCAGGGGAAAGAGGGAGTCAAAGAACCGCTGCACAAACTCATCGACGTTGAGCTCAGAGCCCAGCAGGAAAAGACCGATGTCAGTGAAGAGCTCCCCCACGGGGCCGGCAGCCTCAACGGCCAACTTCTGGTAAGACACCTGGAGGATGGCATTGGTGTGATTCTCTGCCTGCCTCATCAGAGAATCAAAGGTTTCTGTGGGGGTGCAAAGCAGAGGAAAAAAAAAAAAAGGAACAAGATCAGAAAGGGGCTGGAAATCATTTAGACACATTATCATCCTCGGCATCGGGTTGGCTTAGTTGCCTGTTGAGATTCTTCTCTGCTCTTCAGCAGAACAGAGCACTGGCTTCCCAGCAGGAACAACAGCTCCCTCCCTGCATCTTTCAAGGAAGACGGGAGGCTACATGTGGGGAGGCAATTTGTTATCTAATCAAAAGTTTTGCTGACAATGAAAATAACCACAAAAGACGCGACAACACATTAGAAGGAAGGCAGCTGTTATAGAATATGAACAGAGCCTCTGCTATGTGAAGGACCATTTGAATCAAAGCGGAGTGATGAAGTTAAATGAGGAAGAATAAATATCAAGGGAAATCATGACAATGAGCCATATGTAAATCAATTTTTTCTAAATGAATTATTAGAATGTTTACATATAGCATAGCTTGAAAAAATACTCATCTAGTGAGCATCCAGTGATTCATTTGCTACAGAATCAAACTTATTCAAAGAGTATTCAAATCTTAAAATCATAAAAGAAGAACACAATATCACATAGGCATCAAGAAAATTTAGTATTAGCAGGGATGATGGGTATATTTTGCTATCATCAAGGTTGAAAGATGAATTGATATAAAACTTCTATTCAACTGCCAGCAGTGGTACAGGAGGAAATGTGTAGCATTCAGGGAGATCTTTATGAATAACACTCAATTTGTTCCATGTTACATTTAAATCTGTTAAATGAAATCTGCATTTGTGATAACTGTGCCTGACACGACATTTAAACTCATTTTCTGTGAAGAAGAAGAAATTAAACAAATTTAGCCCGCTTGACTTGACTCTTGTCAGACAGGAAGTAAAAATCTTAGATCATTAAAAAAAATGTCTCAGGGCACAACAAGGTCTCCTTTATTCCTTTGTCTCTTACTTCTATGTTTTTTTCAGCTAATACCTGAGCCATGGCCATTCTCACATCATGTGCTTGTCATGAGATGTGAGGAAACAGTCAGGGGGAACACAGTTGGAGCAGCCTAGGGGGGCTGAGGACCCGAGAAAGGGGCAGCCAGTGTGATAAGGGCTTAGACAGTTCAATGCTGTACAACATGCACTCATGTGGAAAGACTGACCAAAAGCCCCCCGATGGGGGCAACAGCAAGGGGGAAGAGAGAGGGCTCTGGCATGCCTGCTGGCAGCGTGTCTCCGACAGGAGCATAAAACCCGGAGGTGCCAGGAATTGAGTCTTATCGCAGGTACTCTGTGAACTTGCGTGGATGTGTTATGTCTAACAAGATCTGAGACTAAAAGGAGCATGTTTATGTGTGAATGAGGAATTAAATCAAAGCTGCACCTCCTACTCAACAAGCTTTCTGGTCAGAGGGAATGTACGAAAGAAGAGCAGTTGTGGAAGTACTGTGTGTGCATGTGTCTGCGTGTGTGCGTGTGTCTGCGTGTGTGTGTGTGTTTGGGTGCGTGTTTGTGTGTGTGTGTCTCCATGAATCAGAGGCAGATATGTGCTCATGAAGTACAGTGTAAGATTATTAAAACCCCCAGTTAAATGAAGCAGAGCAGACAGAGTTGTGGAGGGTCCCACAGGGATTACAGTGCATGTTTCAGGGAGGGGACTTTACCACAAACAGATTATAGATTTAATGAATCCCACCAATCAAACCATGTCTGTGCAGTAAACACACTTCTGTCTATTTTACCAAATAGTGCTCTCTCATTATGCTTCCTGAGAACTGAGAAGCAATGAACATTTATATTTTCAAAAAAACAAGACATATATCTATTTTATGAAATATATTAGATCATCTTGAAGGTGATGGCATAAGTGTAAATAATAGTCCTCTGTTTTTATGAACTTTTCATACAGGGTGTCATCCTATTTGGAATTGCAGTAGCATACATTTATTTCATACTGTGAATCACTATTTGTAATGTCCACATTTAATTTTTATTTATCTATCTTGTTTTCAAAACTCAAGAATTTTAAAAGGCTGTGTAAGAAAGCTGAAAAAGACGGAGATAATGAACTGATCAATGATTTTGTGAATTACATTATGATTAGCATCCCCACACAAAACTTGCTGATCACCATTAATAAATAATCAACAGTATTAATGATCATATTTTTCAGCAAAAAGTGAGTGGGAAGCAGAGTCTCACACTTGGAAGCCTTGCCCAGGGGCAAGACTTCTGGTAAAGCCTGAGGAAAGAAATACAAGAAGGTGAGAAAAGATGGAATGTAGCAGATTCATAAGGAGGGTGTATTTTTTTCAAAAGCATATTATATTGATGAGTTTACCCTATATACTTTACAGCTCGATGTTTCAAGTTGATTTGACCGTCTCCATTGTCAATAATGTTATATTCAGCGAATACTATAGCTCAGCCAATCTTAAAAATCCCTCTGACAAACCCTACAATTAAACGGCAGATTCACACTGATATTTCGCAATAAACCTTTGAATGTAATGTATCTCAAAGGCCTCTGGACATATTTCTGTCTGTTTAAAGTAGGGCTTAGCTGTGCCTGTTTAGCTTGTGTGTGTTTTGAGAGTCAATGACCGTGCTGATGAGAGGAGAGGTTGGCATGTTTGCATTTCTGCTGAGAGGAAGAACACGACGATGAGATAAAAAACACACACTGAACTGCTTCATACGCTCTCTTTACTAAACCACTTGCTCTTCTCAGGGGCCCTGAGAAGAGCAAGTTTGAGTCAAGTTTATATTCAGGCGGAGGAAATGCATTTGGGGGTCAAAAATGTTTACTTTATGGGTGTTTACAAAACATGCTGGCTTTTTATCCAAGTGTTCTCAGAAAAAAATATGAAAGAATAAAAGTGTTATTTTTAGAAAATATGTCACTTCATAATGGGGCCATGGCTCAAAAATGTGCTCATACATACAAAGGTGAACGGTTGAAAACAGAACAAATGTCATGGGGTAGAGGAGGAGACACGTGAGCATGAAGGGCATTTCTGTTTACACTGAGGAAAATCACATCTCCTCATCATAGGGATTACACTCATCAAACCCTCCCTGGCTCCACCCTAACTTCCTCTGTTTGAAGGCATGCCAAAATAGCACCGAGTAACCCATAATTTTGCTTTGTTTTTTTTTTTAAAAGCATGCCACGTGGTGATGTCAATAAGACAAAAAGGAAAAATCTTGACAACAAAAAAGCTACATCAATCCCGTCAGATGCTGCTGTGGGAGAGCACAACTTCCTTTGGAGAAAAAACAACTTTGCTGCCTTTTTGGTGAGAATGTGGCAGGAAAGCTTTGGAAACTGAAAAGATAAAAATATCGAATGATGCAAGGTAAAGAGTACAAGGAGAAATATGTGTTGGTGTGTATGTATGTGCATTCATGAAGACTGGATGAGGTTATCAAAGTATGTACGATTTTCTATTGCATGCATCTATTATTTTTATTGATCTATTAAAGCAAGCCATCAACAACAGGAAAACACAAAGGCGCACAAATGAATAGCAGAAAAACAGCAGAGCAAAGGCAAACAAAATAATGAGCATAACAGAGCCATTAGATAGGATAAAGACAAAATAATGAGGATCCATAAGGAGAGTAATAATGCTTCGCAGATTGAATATTTTTAAGCACATTTCATCGTAATCTTATCAACAATTTTCTGGGTTTATTGGAATCCCTTTCTGATTAAAGCTGAGGAAACTAGTGGGACAGAGGTAAGTTTTAATCCATCCTGTGCATCGTAAGAGCCCATTAGGGCATTTCAACCAACACACATAATGCATTTCTCACTTTTCTACTGGCATGCTAAATATATGATCATTTCATTGATAGAAAGCTCAAGTATCCCTGGCTACCACCTAGACATACTATCTGTTATACAACAGTCATGAAGCCCTATCAGTTCAATTTCTTAGTAGCTGAACTTGTGTTCATGCCTAAAAGGCTTTCAAATCGGATCCCATTCTCTTCCTTTGTCCTATAATTACACCACTTCTCATTTACTTTAATGTAGGATGATCCGGTTAACTGTGACAGGAGTACATCACTGAGCAATGAGTTAAGCTTGAGGTCAGGGTTTCCGGCAGCTGGTCGAAACTGGCATCTGAAACTAATCTTTTTTGGGGATATTTCTGTTTATGAATGTAACAGAATGAGCAGTAATCTAAGACTAAAGATGTTTAACCATGACAAATTGCATATATAGTAACACCAAGGGTGTTTTTTCAGCCAGTTTTAGCAGGGTGACGTGTGTTGCTTTCACCACAAGAGGGAGACACATGCTGACTCAGAGCTTCTTCAACAGAGCCTACCGCCACCTGATTCTGAGGATCTTAAACTGAGTTGAAGATTTGCACCGATTCAAAATACTGGCATCAACTGTTCAGGTTAAGATGCTGCAGAGGATTCCACTGGCTGAATAAATAAAGGGTCCCTTCCATTTCCATTCTTTTTTGTGACCCAGATTTGTAATTAATGTAACACACAAATCCCAAAATGTGACTTTAATCGCAGTCATTTTAAGCAAATGCAGTGTTATTTTATACGAAGGTTCAGGCAGATTTTTTGGCACAGAAACAACTTTCTGTGCTCTCAATAAGAAAGATTTCACCAAGGACATTTTTTTCCAGGTCGCATTGGTTGTGCTGTAACTGCAAAACCTAAAAGGGGCACTCCAAAAGGCTTAAAAGGCATTTGTGCTGGCACTGCGTGTGCATATTTCTGTATTCATAGATATGTCACTGAGCAAAGGAATCAGTCAACAGGATCAGAAATAAGACTTGCCACATTTCAGGACAAAAAACCTTCAAGCATCTGCTCTTTCAGACTTAGGCACAAATAACATGGTAAAAAAGAACCCGACTGAGATGCATCCTAAAAGGTCTACATTGCTTAAAAAGAACACGTCAACATGAGTTACTTTGTTTGAAGCTTGCCGTGTTTTCAGGTTTCAAGCTCTCAAATGCCACCGGCTGACCTCAACCGAGCTGCTGAGCAACGCAAAGATGGCTTTTATTAATGTGATTCATCCTCTGTGAATGGCCGCGACCACAACAGAGGAGC